TAAAAAATATTAAGATCATAGATCAACCTTTAGCTAAATCTTTACATAATTATGATGGATATGCTCTAAGATTTTATTGTCTATCAAAAATACATAAACCTACGTTGAGCATGAGACCTATTGTGTCATCTATTAATTCACCTAATATAAAAATAGCTAAATTTCTAACAGACATCTTATCTAAATCATATAATTACAACAATGACTTTAATATTGTTGATTCTTTCAACTTTAGTGAATTTATTAACAATTTTCAACTACCTCAAGGTTACATTTTAGTAAGTTTTTTTGTGGTATCTCTCTTCACTAACTTACCTTTGTCCAGTGTAATCACTTGCTTAAAAAATCATTGGAATTCTATTAAACCTAACTGCCCTGTGTCTTGGGATATATTTGCAGAACTTTTGCAACTTGTTTTTGACACTAATTTTTTGGTCTTTGATGACAAATTTTACCTTCAAACATTTGGTACACCTATGGGTTCCTCAATCTCTCCCATCCTAGTTAACTTCGTATTGGATGTTTTGGTTTCTGACCGTTTAGGTCTTTTGGATTTTCAAATCCCTCTTATTAAAAGGTATGTGGATGATTTATTATTAGCCCTACCACCTGACAAGGTTCAGGGTACCTTATCCCTCTTTAATGAGTTTGATCCCCATTTACAGTTCACTGTTGAACTTGAGGACACTACCACCAATAGTATACCCTTCCTTGACATGCGTGTCATCAGAATGGGAGACAACACCCTAACCACAAGTTGGTATAGAAAATCAATGGCCTCTAATAGGTTCCTTAACTACCATTCCTGTCATCCCATGAAATACAAACTAAACCTTATAAAAGCTTTGAGCTACAGATTAAATAAATTGACACATCCAATTAATCGAAGGGAATCCTTTAAGTTATTGAGAAATATTCTAATAGAGAATTCATATCCTTCCTCTATCATCAATAAATACCTTTATTCACATAGTTATGGATCCTCAATTTATGACATACCCGATGGTGACCAACTTAGAAACATCTCAAATAATTCAATAAATAGCACTGTTCTGCATAATACTGTTCTTGAGAATACTATCACACATTAATCTTCTTTACCTTATTTCCCTCAAGTTACTGAGAAGCTTATTAAATTGTGTAAACAAAATAATATACCTGTTAAAATTGCTGTTAAGAATGCCAAAACTGTTAAAAATTTGTTCTCTAAAACTAAAACACCCTTGTCCACTTTGGAACAAGTGAACACAATTTATAAAATTCCATGCGCTAATTGCGATTTATGTTACATTGGTCAAACTGGTAGATCATTAAAAGGTCGTCTCACTTCACATCGTAGTGACATTAATTTATCAAAACACACTTGTACCCTGGCACAACACGCGATAAATACCAAACATGAAGTGGATTTCAATGAAGTTAAGATCCTTGCCACTGAACGCAATCTAGCTAAAAGACAGTTTTTGGAAATGTGTTCAATACTAAAACACCCTAATGCTTTGAATAAGAGAACTGACATAAGTAACTTGAGCCAAATATATCATGCTTTAATTTTGCAGAATTAGGCTTCTTGATCTTTTCACTATATTAATGTCATATTAGGTGTACTGTTTGAACCTGTTTTCCATTTTTCATAAAATAATTTATATACATAAAAATAGAAATAAAATACATAAATATCGTAATAAAATAATTTAATATTCTTTACTTAATTTACTATTACATATGCAACTTACATTGCATTTCCATACACTGATTACTTTGATTAGTGTTAACAATTTTATACTTAAATAATACAAATATTGTAATTGATTCATAGAATCCTTTGCAAATCACAGTTCCAAGTATATTGAACCTTGGGCTGTTTGGAAATTAATGGGTCGTTAACCACCTGTGGCTGTTTAACTAGCCATAATGATTAACGTTATTACATACTTATGAGGTTGAATGAAAATCTCATGTTTGTAAATCTGAGCTGATTAGTGAGAGGAGTTGCTATTACACTACCAACTTCTTTCACTGTTTTGTCTTTTACAACCGGGTAGTCATCCAAACTCATTTAAACTTAAATTGACCGCCCAAAATTTGGGTTGGTACCTACACCTTGTTGATCTGTCGAAAGTATTTTTGACCTCAAGGTTGGCTGTCTTTTCGCGGTTTAGTTCGTTCCTGTTTCATTTAACGCCATTTTCCCGGCGACATTTGTAGGGCTTTGATCGGTAACTTCATTTATACTACTTTTTAAATTTTATTAATATCACTTATAATGCTACCTAAAGTTAAAATCAAAGCTTAATATTCATTAAATAGTTGGAAGTTATCTATGATTTTCTTGGTTCTTTCTCACTAATTAACATTAAATAACATTTAATTTACTTTAGACCACATGGTCATTTGCTGTGCTAATTTTATAAGTTCATATATGTTGTTAGTTACTTAATTGTTTATACAAAGTCAGCGTATTATGTCCATTTACTTAGTTTTATTCACATTATTGTTAATAACATTGACTGCTACATGTCTTTTTAAGGTAACATTTAACATCGTTTCCACGATTGTGTGGTTCTCATATTGTAATTTTTTAGATGAACTGATGATGCTTTCAAAACTCGAAAGCGAAACGTCTTCAAAATAGATAAATTAGCCTATCAACTTTGTCTTTTATTTCTCCACCTAGAGACCGATATAAGAACCCACCACTCGTCTGAGTGATCCTTATATATATATATATATATATATATATATATATATATATATATATATATATATATATATATATATTCGTACCAGTAGAAAAATCTATAAAATTGAATATTGAAATATTGTTTTAAATTTTGCCGACTTCCACATTGTTAATGTAAAAGTAGTTAACAAAAGTAATCCTCTTAAGCCTATATAAAATTTATTAAAGTAAAAAATATATATTTAATGGTATTTACCAGTGGTGCATAAACGTACCGGTCGTTTTGCTATATAAAAAAATAAATAAGATCTATTTTTTATTGTTGTTTAAATTATACTAATTGATTAATTACTATTTATAACTGGGAATAAGTCACAATTAAAGATAAAAATACGTTTATTGACGTTTCAATTTCCAATTCGGAAATCGTTCTCAAAATACAAACAGTAAATTAAACAAATTTTGTTTTTTTGTTACATAGTGAAAAATTCTTCTAATAATTTAATTTTATCTGACTCATTTATATTGACAATTCAGACATACATTATGCATTTTAAAGTAGACGACTTTAAAATGATATTGCCAATATTGTTGAGTTGCGCTCCTGGGACGACTTTACTTATAAGATAGTTCATTCGATTACATGAAATCAACTTTAACTTGAGAATATCCGTCAGAAAAAATCATAGCATGTAATTCGTCTTTAAAAAGACAAACACATGACATGATGACAGTAAAATTCTCCTGTTAGTGATTCCATAGTAAATTATGAGGGAAAAACCAGGAAAAAAACCTCATAATACTATCCCGACATTGTAAGTATTTGTTCGTGAATTTAGTTTACCTTCAACAAACATCAAAATTCTGATTTTATATGTTACGTTATTTAAAAAACATAAATGATGTATCCTCTATATGTTACTGACTTACTAATACTGGTATTTTCTTATTAATAACTTCCTCTTTCAATATTGGTAACCAGATCCTACTACATTCTGCCGAGGAATTTGCGACACAATTGGACTCATTTAGCATAATTAGAGCCGCTTCTTTGATTTTTCTTTTTAGTATGAAGTAATTTTGGCTCTATCGTATAAGATTTAATTATCCCTTTTTACATTAATATTGTGATTTGTCCAAAACCAAACCTAACAATGAACAAGAAAGGACAAAGAATTGCATTTATAAAATACCTTGTGAATGCGATCAGTTTTATTTAGGTGAATCATCAAGGCCATTAAATGTTAGAATAAGTGAACATCAATCTTATATTAAAAATAGAGAATTTGATAGATCTCAAATATGTAAACACGCATGGGATAATGAACATAGGGTTCAATGGAATAATTCAAATATAGTCCTAAAAGAAACGGATGGTAAAAAAAGAAAAATCAAAGAAGCGGCTCTAATTATGCTAAATGAGGCCAATTGTGTCGCAAATTCCTCGGCAGAATGTAGTAGGATCTGGTTACCAATATTGAAAGAGGAAGTTATTAATAAGAAAATACCAGTATTAGTAAGTCAGTAACATATAGAGGATACATCATTTATGTTTTTTAAATAACGTAACATATAAAATCAGAATTTTGATGTTTGTTGAAGGTAAACTAAATTCACGAACAAATACTTACAATGTCGGGATAGTATTATGAGGTTTTTTTCCTGGTTTTTCCCTCATAATTTACTATGGAATCACTAACAGGAGAATTTTACTGTCATCATGTCATGTGTTTGTCTTTTTAAAGACGAATTACATGCTATGATTTTTTCTGACGGATATTCTCAAGTTAAAGTTGATTTCATGTAATCGAATGAACTATCTTATAAGTAAAGTCGTCCCAGGAGCGCAACTCAACAATATTGGCAATATCATTTTAAAGTCGTCTACTTTAAAATGCATAATGTATGTCTGAATTGTCAATATAAATGAGTCAGATAAAATTAAATTATTAGAAGAATTTTTTCACTATGTAACAAAAAACAAAATTTGTTTAATTTACTGTTTGTATTTTGAGAACGATTTCCGAATTGGAAATTGAAACGTCAATAAACGTATTTTTATCTTTAATTGTGGCTTATTCCCAGTTATAAATAGTAATTAATTTACAATGCCACAAGAAAATAGCTTCAGAACAATACTAATTGATTACCAAAACACTTTTTAAAAATAGTTTTCTCATGATTACAGTTATCTGTTAAATATGGGTTAATATAAGTAAGTTCCCAGTCAACCTAACTACGATTTTTTTCGAAAGCTTCATAAAAACATTAAACTGATACTTACAGATTTTTTATTGATATTTCTTTTTTGTTTTAGTGCGTTCGAAAAAGATGACAATACGATAGGATCATTATTAGATTCTGGATTTAATAGGGTAAAGTATATTCAACCATTTTCACTAATATTTTAGAATTTTTACATATTATATTGTACAACTAATGGGGAAAGCAAAACATTCCTGTACATTGTATAAATGGCTGGTATTTTCCTTTTAGCTATACGTATACTTGGAAAAATGATTATCTATAATTTGAATATATTTATTATTTTTATTCCTCGTTTTAAAACATATTTTTATAAAAAGTTTCTTATGAAACCAATAAAAAAAACCAAACTAAATTTTTAAATTCACAAATTATCACAGTGCATATCATACCTATGTATTTTTTTATTTTCAGTTTTTGTATTACTGAATATTCTGTTATATGAGGTGCAAACTACTTATGGAATAAAATTATTATTGTGTTCGTTTTAAAATAATATAAAAAACAGTGAGATCTGTCGATTTTTATATCTACATGTACGCTTTTAAACATAAATTTAAATATACAGGTTGATTCACTCAAGCCTAGCACAGTCCATATACTTTATTTTTAATGAAACACTCTGTATATTTTTATATTTTTCTTAACAACCTGATCTCAACGAACTATATCATGCCGGATCTATTATGTATATTAAACGATAAAATTTTGAAATTATACAGTGTGAAAACCACTTAAGGAATAAAATTGTTTTTGTCTTTATTTTAAAAATTATTTCTAAAAAATGCTGGTAGCGGTAACTTTTAAATTTAAATGTGCGCTTTTTGATAAGGAAAATCATCTCCCCTTGTAAAGGGTGTAATTTCATGTTTGGATTTCTGTTATACGTCGTGATCTACTTTAGAGGTAATTTAACCTGAACTGGGCGGTTGATCATGAAGAATATGTTCTGAAACAGAAGGCAAATGTTCTAACTAATTTTTGTTAATATTAAATATTAACTGTAGATTATCATCATATTTCGATGGTTGATCTATAGGTGGTTGATCTATAGGAAGAGGGAGACTTGATCATATGGGAGACTTGATCACTCTTTAAAATTTCAGTAAATAAGTAGCCTAAAATTATAAAACCGGCAAAAAATCGTAGCTGTTAGTATGTCTGATGATCCCATTTAATTTAGTTTGTATTAGAGTCCACAACGAAAAGCACGTGTTTATTACAAATTTTTTGTCCCTACCGAGAAGTGTTTTCAGAATTATTTCAAGTTGTTTTTCTTTAATATTCGTTAAGGTGAGTTTTTCGTATAATTTTTATTTAACACTATAATCATTCAGTTTACGTTTTGCACATTTTGCAATGAGTTCTAGTTTGTCGTCATATTTTTATAGACAAAAATATTCAAATGGCGTCTTGGGGGAGACTTGATTACATCTTATCTGGGAGATGTGATCCCGGGATCAAGTCTTCCAGAAACTCCTTATAGATGAGTGTTTTTTATTTTATAGATATGCCACGTCAATACAAAAGGAGGGAAGGAGCAAAGAAAAGAACACCAGTCGAAAGCCAGAAGTTAAAAGAAGCTGTATTAGACGTTATTAATACGGAACGTCTCTCAAGGGAACGGCAAGTCGTTATCAAATAAATGTTATGATATTAAAAAGATACGTTCGCCGACAACGATCTGAAAATGTTGAAATAACCTATTATCCTGATTACAAGAAGGCTCAAATTTTTACAAATGCAGAGGAAAATATGTTTAAAGATTATTTAGATGTTGCCAGCAAATTACACCATGGCCTTACAACCAAACAAGCAAAAGAACTAGCATACTAGTTTGCCGTAAGAAATAATAAAAAAAATACCTGCTTCGTGGAATAAACATAAGCAAGCCAGTTACGACTGGTTATACGGATTTCTGAAGAGGATGAAGACCTTATCACTACGATCTCCGGAAGCAACCAGTCTTACTAGAGCAACTAGCTTCAATAGAAACAATGTATCAAAATTTTTCATAAATTTTTTTTTATTAACACCTACGCGGTGTTTGTATACTGCTATCTGGTCACAATGACCAATTATCAGTTATTTTCTGACCTAACATAATAACAGCAAATACTTAAATCTAAGGGCTTACCCTATGGCTTACTCTTATTTTATCTATTAACTAATGCACTAATAACTAACATGCAATAACTTCACAGCACTATACTCTGCTTTTTACACTAAACTGTTACACATTTACACTAGCTCAAATGGTTTTGTCCTTATGAGTCTTCTCTTTAGTTCAGTGTTGTCAAGAAGCTGGATTGCCTCGACATTCACATGACTATGCAGCCTCTGCTCGTGACTTGCTGCTGTTCTCTTGATTATTTCGATCACAGTTTCCATACCCAGGTCCTGGTGGAGGTTGCTGTTACGGATATACCAAGGAGCATCAACAATGTTTCTCAGTACTTTATTTTGAAATCTCTGGATAATAAGTAGATTACTAGCTTTGGTACAGCCCCAGAGTTGGCACCCATATACCCATACTGGCCTCAGTACTTGCTTGTAGATGGATAATTTATTATGAATTGACAATGTTGAATTTTTTCCAATCAGCCAATACAATTTCTTATATCTAATATCAAGCTCCCCTCTTTTCTTTTTGACATGGACTTTCCAGCGCAGCTTCGCGTCTAGGGTGATGCCCAAGTATTTTGCTGATGTTGCATAAGGAATTCGGGCATCATTTATTGTAACTGGGAAATTTTCTATTTTTTTATTTGTAAAGTTAATGTGTGCAGACTTAGTCTCATTTAATTTTATTCGCCATTTTCTGGTCCAGTTATGTATTTTATTTACTGATAATTGCAATTTATCAGTCGCTTCTTCACTAGTGTCTCCTATCGCTAGTATGGCTGTATCATCCGCGAAGGTGGCAATAGTATTTTGTTCTAGCTCTGGAATGTCACACGTATACAATAGGTACAGGACCGGACCTAAGACACTTCCTTGTGGCACGCCAGCTTTGATCTCCCTTAAGTCGGTGTACACTTCTTCTTGTTTTACTCTGAAATATCTATTCGCAATGTATGATTCCAAGATTTTTGAATACTGTTTAGGCATGAACGTTCTTAGTTTATAGTTTAAACCGTCATGCCAGACTTTATCAAATGCCTGTGCTACATCCAAGAAGATTGTAGAGCAGACTTTATTTTCTTCTAACGTTTTTTCTATTATATTCGTTATTCTGTGAACTTGATCTATAGTGGAATGTTGATTTCTGAAACCAAATTGATGATTTGGTATAAGATTTTTTCTTTCTATTATTGGTTTTAATCTTTTTAATAGAAGTTTTTCAAATAGTTTTGACATCACCGGAAGGAGGGATATTGGTCGATAGGATGTCACTTCATTAGGAGATTTACCTGGTTTGGCGATCATAATTACTTCGGCTACTTTCCAGAGTCTGGGAACATATCTCAATCTAAAAGCAGCATTTATTAGGTGTGTCAGCTTAACTATGGCTTTTCTTGGTAGATTTTTTAATAATTCTCCTGTTATGAGATGATATCCTGGAGCTTTCTTAGGATTTATATTCTCTTTTATCTCTGTTGATACTTCTCTAAGTGATGTCAATATTATTCTTTCGTCAGTTTGGAATGGTTCTTCCCATCTCATTTCTTCACTATCACTGTCGTTGGGTTTGAACGTGCTTTCTAAATGATCTGCAAATCGTTCTGCTTTCTGTTCGTTACTTCTAGCCCAGTTGCCGTTTTCCAACTTGATAGGACGGGAATGAATAATTGGTCTCTTCAATCTTTTTGTTGCCTTCCATAAAGAATAATCTGTGTTCTGGTCAGCTGTTAAATTACTTAAAAAATAATTAATTGTTGAATTTTTTATATTCTGTATCTCCCTTTTTAGTTTTTGTGTAGCATTATTTAGACTAGTTTTGTCTCGTGGAGCTCTGTATTGCTGCCATTTTTTTCTTAACTTCCTTTTTTCTACTATGAGTTCTCTGATTTCTTTTGGATAGTTGTTCCCTTTTGTTCTAGGAGTTATTGTGGGAGTATTTTCCCAAGCTGACTGTTGGATATTTTTTATAAAAACTTCTAATTCGTCATCAAGTTGCCTCGTGTTTCTTAATGGAACAGCAAGATTAATTTTGTGTTCAAGGTTTATTTTGAAGCTCTCCCAGTCAGTTTTTTTATTAGTCAATATTGGATTGAACTCTTTTTTAATCACTGTATCACTCATAGTTAGAATTATCGGTGAGTGATCAGAGTTCATGTCCCAGCCGTCATTGATATCCAGATAGTTAGCTGAGATATTTTTGTAAATAAAGAAATCTATCAGGTCTGGAATTTTGTTCCTATCGGTAGGCCAGTATGTTGGTCTACCAGTAGAGATTACTTCATCCTTTTGTTCCTTAACAGCTGACAATAGTTCTTTTCCTTTAGTTGTAATTAACCTAGAGCCGCAGTGGGTATTTTTTGCATTAAAGTCGCCACCGATGATGTATCTTTCTCCTAAAGTGTTCATAAACTCTTTATATTGCTCTCTTTTAATGGAGTGTCTAGGAGGACAATATATTGAACTTATATTTAAGGTATGTGTTTTCATCTTCACACAGACTGTTGTAGCTTGTATGTGCTCCGTTGCATATTTTAATTCCTCATGATGCAAGATGTTATCTTTAATTATAATAGCGCTTCCTCCTTTAGCTGCATTATCTGGGTGTACAGTAGAATATACTCTATACCCCCTAAATTTAACATATGACTGTTTAGTGAAGTGTGTTTCAGAAACGAGACACAGATCAATTTTCTCAATATCTAGTACTGCTTGCAACTCGATCTGATGTTGTAACAGTCCATTTGCGTTCCACGCCATTATTCAGAGGTCTTTAGTAGCCATTTCTGATTTTCGGAATAGCTCCTTTAGCGCTATGCTCTAGTTGGGTAACTCTGATATCGATTTGAGTTATTTTGTCATCAATCTTGGTGAGCTTTTCCAATATCATTTTTAATGTAATATCAGTTTCTTTTTCTTGTTCCGATGATGCATGTCTCCTTGCATTCTTTGTTACATCGCTGTAACTTCTATTTTCACTGACCTCTGC